ATGTGTCACACAAAGAAACGGTATTATTTACTGAATAACGTTTCGAATACAACTTATTGTTCATAATCATATCAGTTGTAACTACACAACTTCGAAACTTTCGTTTTATATTTGTCTTTATTCCCTCCTATTCCTCGTAGGGGAAGTAGAATTTTTCAGATGTCCGGAACAGCTGTTGAGTCATTCCTATCACACGTATTTGCAGTTGATTCAATAAAAAAGCTTCCGTAATCAATCTCTCCTTCCACCCTGTTATACTAGATTTTAAGACTGTCATCTTATCGCATCCTATTGTGTGGTTTTGCTTAATTGCATGTAGTACTGTCTACGGCTGAACTATTCTTCAGATTTATCTTATTAGGGTTAACTAATCTAGATTTTGCTAGGTTTTTGCTTTGCTAGTCGAAACTTTGTATATAACCTGACAGTCATCTCAGGGTAATGGATAAACTAAACTGTTTTGTTTAATTGGTTCCACAGGATCCTTTAACCGACAAAGTTTGTTTCTCAAAGAGATAACTGTGCAAAGCTACGCAAGTCCTCTCAAACTCACTGTCATCAAAGCTGATAGATGTACAAGATGAGAATTTTTTTTATCATAAATGATCTGATGTTTAAACTGCTCTCTGTTTTTGAATATGTAATCTTTTCAGACGGACATCCATTGGAGTTTCGTAAAAGTTGTATTTTTTGCTCACTAAATTATTGCAAAATTTGGGTTTAAAGTAGGGTCACCTTTTGTATCTGTTATTTTTCTCTCATAATGTCCTATTTCAAACACCTGTTCATTGTACTTCTGGCGAATAAGAACTATACCTAGATAGAGGTATTTTCTGTGGTGAATTTGTTGATGGCAGAGTTATCACTGACTCATATTGGTTGTCATCTTCAGTACAGCTTCAGAGGTAAGGTGTTCAACAGATGACACTGCACTTTCGTGTTTTTTAACTACTGGAGATGTGTAAGCAAAACATCTTTACTACTCTTGAATTAGAAACTTCGTTATTTTAATGTAGGTTAAATTTTTCCATTAGTAACCAAATATTAGATGCATTACACACCTACTTGGTTACAGTTTCGACGTGTTTCATGGATTAAAAAGTTGATCAAAGCGGAGCGTACTATGAAATTGTGCTACACTGGCAATAGTTTGAGAGCACAGTGAAGTTTGCTTTGTTTCATGTTGTTTATCGGTTTTTTGGATGAAATTTATAATTTACATGAAACCATAGTTCAGTAGGTATCTAATACACCACATAACTACCTATGTCTTGTATATTCTTATCGTTATTTGATCTTCCTTTTTTTAGACTTTTCACTTGAGTTTCAAAGCCTTAGTTATCACTGAAGTCTATTTATCTCTTCTCATATCTTCATTAATGAATTGAGAAATTCTAGAGAGCTAATGGCACCGCCCACATGTCAAATACTTTTCAGTGCAAAATCAAATCAAATATCATTTCTGAAAATGTGATGACTGTTGAGAATTCACAGGTTTTCATTCCTTATCTAATCTTCATGACTGACTGACTGGTTTCAATGTAGAACTTTGCACCGATATGCAGCAGTTCGAGTTACCACACTCCATGTAGCACAAAAAGCAAGATAGGAGAGTAAAGAGAGGTTCAAATGAGAGACAAACAAGTGTGGGGGAAAAGAATAGTAATATGGAAGAACAACAGAATTTTATTAGATATTATAAATCATAAAGAGTGAACGCATCTGCGCCACTGGGGACGATTTGAGCCATATCACCAACTGTCTCAATCCATTGGTTTCTACCGTCCCGAGGATCACAATCAGGAAGTCTGCACCTTCCTACTTTGCTTAAATTAACTGTTGTGGAATTCATTGACTGATGAAGCCATATTTTGGTTTGACCACCACTGACTTTTCCAGCCTGATCCATCATGTGTCAGCTAGCATTGCCCGTCGAGGAAGGCGATGGTTAGACATGCGTAACATATGTCTTAACCATCTCAGTCGGTGTAACTTCACAGCCTTGTCTATTGATTTCCCCTTCTTACCTAGCACTCGACGCCTATCCTCAATATTGCTCACCCTATTATACCACTTCACACGGGAAATAGAACGCAGGCGTTTATGATCGAAGACAGCTAGCCTTTTCATGTCTTCCGCTTTCAATTGCCAGGCCTCACAGCCATAAAGGAGGATGGAGTGGACTGATGAGCAGTACACATGCCCTTTGGTCAATAGTCAGCCGGATATCACGTCTACACCAGAAACATAAACAGATAGCTAGATAAATTGTTTGGTTATTTAACTATTTTGTCGGTTAATTTTTAAGTTTCACTAGTAATTAATCAATTTAAGAAATATGTCGGATGGTAGCCACAGATTGCTAACCTTGGTCATTTCTGGTGACGTTAGATCAGCTGTCAAATATTAGGCCTACAGTCCTTCGCTGCGCTCCGTCTTGCTAAGTTCCTGTAAAATCTGGCTTCTCTCAGGTGGGGATGTGCGTGTTCGGTCGTCTCAGCCTTCATGGAGTTGCTTATATCAGTAAGCATCATCATGCAAGTAATTCTGAGGTCGACTTAATTGTTTAGACAAAGTAGAGCGCGTATCTCAGTAAGTGGTGTCATACTTGCACACGGTGCCAAGTTTGTGTTCAGATAATAATAGTGTTAAGTCATGAATCGACCCTGGCGAGAAAATCATCGAAAGTTGAAAACAGCTGGCGGTTCCGTTCTACTGAGATACCCTCCAGCGGCTCAATCCTTAGTGAAATCTAGTCTAGGAGCTCCAAATTAAGACGATATAGGTGTCCAGAGCTATTTGTTCTTTTTTTTCAGTGTTCGCTTAATTAATGTCTATTAGCTGTGCTAAGTCTAAATAAAAGAGAGCCTTCACAAAATAACAACCCGTTCCCACAATAATTTTACATGTGTAAAAAGCACTAAAAAATGGTTAGCTCGCAAGTGTTTTCTTTTCGTCTGTTCTGCATTGCAAATTACATATCTTTGTATCAATCTGTATTTCATTTACATGTTTCCATATCCCTATGAGTTTAATAAACCCAACTTATTGTTACTATTTGTTTTTATTGATAAGGCGTTCATCACTTATTAACAACTTATGACAACAAAAATATTCTTGTATCTCATAGGCATTCTTTTATCATTGTATATTTTAGTATGCTTCGTAATCGGTTTACGTCATCAGTAACTTGAAGTTTTTAAATATAATTAGCGAAATGTTATTGGCACAAAATATTTTTGATCGTATCAATAGGTATACTTTTTTGATGTCTTTGAGGAAAAACGTAGTCAGGTCCCAATATGGACTCTCCTGATTATCTGGTGTCGTTCAATGCAGTATGATTCACTATAAGATATCCCTGTAGTGATAGCACCCATCAGCCTTTATTTTTTGTCAGTTAACGCTGAAAAGGTTTAGGTAAGTTGACGTTACACCTTACTCCACCGGTTCAATTAGAACATTTGATGCCTGTAAGGTGTGCGCGTGTATGGGTGGTGTCTTTCACTTAAGCTTTCTTATAGCCCACCTCAGTAAATAAGTTGTGGGAATCTATGGAGCAGTCGATAATCACTCTAATTACATTCATTTGAGATAATAAACACTTTTCTAGTAGTATGACAATGTACCACATGACTGTCAAATGACAGACTGAATTAAAAGCGAGTAATGCAATAATGAGACAAAAATAAGTTAACTATTGTCATTCTTTAATTAGTAACGGTAAATGTATAAGAAAAAGTATGCTGAGAATTTCTCTCACTGGAGGGATTGATTTTTTTCCAAATAAAAAAAATACAATTAGAAATTATAAATGCATCTTAAGTTTGAATGCACGTTTACTTCGTCGTCTCTTAAGCACTGTTTCTATGATTTTTGATAACAGATTAAAAGACTCAACACACCGTTGTTTAGGTTTAAAGTATAGTTCATGGTGCCAAAATCGTTCTCAATGGCGCAGATGCATCCACTCCTTGTGACTTATAATTTCCAATGTAACTATATTGTTCTTCGTTATTACTATTCCTTTGTCTCATATCCCTGTCTACTGTCTCTACTATACATTTCTTCTCTTGCTTTGTGTGCTAGATGGAATATGGCGATTTGAACTGCTGCACATCGGTGCAAAGTTCTGTGTCGAAAACAAACAGACAGAAAGTAATTCAAGAGTCTAGAGTTTTGGAAAGTTGTCTACTTCTAAGGTGTTCATTAACGTGATTATCCTCGATTGATTAATTCTGTTCCGATTTCTGCTTCAAGCGTTTTAAGATTTTATTGACTTTTGGTTATGTGCCTGTTTGTTTTTAGAGTTTCTATCTCATATTTTAATCATTGCTACTACTATTATCATTATATTCTCTTAAATTTTGACTTTCACAGCTTTTCTAGATTTTGCATGACAAAACAGGAGCAGTGTGTTCGAGATTCAGCACCCAGTAACTTTTGTGATGAACCGCTATAGTAACTTAGCGATAATATTGATTGTGATGATGACAATGGCTATTGAAAATCCTTATTTTACTTTACATCAGCATTGCAGTTTTGTATCAAACCTTGAGAAAACAACTGATGCTTGTTTGTATTGCTTACTTTAGAAGTTTACTGATAGTGTCTAAAATACTTTAAGTTAATTCTCCCTAATTCTCGCCCGTGGACAGATGAACTTTCGGTTTTTGGAGGGAAAATGTGTTGTACACATTTATCTCAAAAAGTATTATACAATTTGCTTCTTATGCGATAGTTTGCATTGAAAAATTTGTATTTTTAATATAAACAACGGAAGCCATATTTTTTAACATATAGAGATATTTGGATTTTGCTTCTTTCCGGTGCCCATTGAACGAAGGAGTATATGTTAAATATGAAATCTGACATTCAGTGTTATTTTGTTTAAGTTTTACTGATGAATCACTTGAGCCTATATAAATGTTTCGCACATGTGTCCTGGACTTTATTTGTAAATTATGCATTCTAATCTCATCTTTTTTATTCCTTTTTAGACTTGTGGAACATTTTTGATGCTTTGCTGAATAAACTGAATGTGTAGCTAATCACTTTACGCATGAAATGAGTGTATTTGAACGACTTCAGCAGAGACTAGCTAGAGGTTCCACTACAGTACGACCTCAGGATACTGCACAAATTTGTCACAAAAATAGTTCAGCTAATTCAGATCAACTACCTCCTATGAATTATGTAATTAAGGTGGTTGAGGATCGTCCAACTCATCAGACAACAGAAACAATGAATAATCTTCCTCCATCTTATAAGCATCCACGAACTTGGGGTTCCCACTCCCACTCTAGTCGTATATTACCTAATATGTCCAATAGTTGCTCGATTCCATCTCTACCAACAACTGACACCAGTGTTTTCAAAGACAATGTGACTCCGGATCTGGAAGTAGGGATTTCTAAATCTCACTTCAGTCGTAGTCAAGATTTTTTAAATGTTCCCAATACTAGTAGTGTTACTTTAAATCAGCAACCTCGTACAAAACGTGCAAAAACTCCTTTGAGTTCTTTTTATCGTGTAAGCAGTGACGATGATGATGATGGTGACGAAGAAGAGGACGTCGATGATGATGCTGATGTCGGTAATAATAATGTAGATAACCTCGACCAGTGTGATGAAATAAATATTAGGCGGTCTGCAGCATTTGAACGAAAATCACAGCGTGTTCGTCGTAGTATTGATCGTGCAAAGGCAGCTTTACCTGCAGATTTTGCAGACCGTATTGAGATCTCAGATTCTGTTACTGATTTACCTAATCAAGAATTGTCCAGTGAGACACATTTTCGAAAACATCGTCGAAGTGTCAGTAATCTTGGAAATGATTTGAATGGTCCCTTGGATACACATGATCCAAGTTCTGAAGAAAATATATCAGACCCTCGCAACAGTGAGAATGAACATTATGAAACTCAAGAAACTTTGAAGTCAATTGAAAATATTACTGAATTATCTGCAAAAGAAGAAAAACCTTGTGAAATTGATGATACATGCAATGTGAAGTCAACTGATAATTCTGAATTAACAAGTCCACATGAGTAAGTAACGACTGAACAATTATAATTACGCTATTATTGTCGATTTACAGTCCTTTGTTCATAAATCTCATCAACTTAAAACCAGTCTGTACAATTATCCAAAAACTGGCGTATTTTCCTAAAATTTTCATCATAAGAATTAACGTGTATCTAAATTCGAAAACAGAATCCATTCACCCGTCACAAGCAGTCAGCTTTGTCATAAACTGACCAAATGTACTGAACTAATCAATTATGTATTGTTTTCAACTGCCTACCATTTCTAGGAAACTAGTATTTAGTCGCTATTACGGATATCTGATGTGGGAGATAACGGAAAAACCAGATGCACAGAGCTATTAAATAGCATTAACCAGCGAAAGTCCTCAAACACCATTAATTTAAGAGCATAACTTGGGTATTATAGTAAAGTTCAACTATATGTTACACACTTTTCCAAACGTCACTATGAAACGGTGAGTTTTTAAATAGGAATCCTTCACTTCAATATACCAGTCAAATACAAAAATAAACAACGATGCTCACACACTTAGAGGGAGATTACGCTGGGGAAGGGGGTGGAGTTTCTCCTGATTTCCATAGTCCATAATATATTGACGCACAAAGTACTCACCAGGTCATCGATATACCTAATTGTAACACATTCATTTATTCATAATGTGTGTTTTCATAGCTGTTCAGAAATTGAACCGTGTTCAAAAAGACTGCAAATATAGACATCCAATGTGCGTAGTCGAAAAATCACAGCGTACGAATGGATTTTTGGCAAGGGACATATACTTTACTTCCGATATGAGTACTTATAGAGAGTAACTAGTTGCGTTGGGTGGCAGATTCAGTGAGACGTTTAGACGGCGCAAAAAAGCTACCGAGTAGACATTGGATAGAATGCGTTTAAAACTGCTTTGTTAATTAATTTATCTGACATTCCTGGAAATACTGCGAAGAACTTGTTTTAGTTTCCTGTACATACTTCACAAGTCTTTTGAATTGTATGATCACTTATTTTTGAGACAGTTTTCTGAGTAATTACGTGCTGCTATTTACTAATTTATTATTATTTCTATTCGTATTTTCTTTGGGCTTTATGATGCTTTAGTCTCATAGAAAATATATCCTACTTCAAAAGTAATAATTATTTCCTGCCTTCTGATTAGCTTTATTCTCTATGGACAATGTTAATTTATCATATTTGAATTAGTTAAGTGGGCTACTTGCTCATTTGTCAGTGATAATTAACTTATTCCGGTATTTTTCATGGTGAATTTTCTGTGTATTCAGTGCTTCATTTTACTTTCTCTTCTATTGTCATTGTATAGCTGACATTAAATAGAGGTTTAATGTAGCTGTCTCTCGAAAGTTTGATCCAGCAAAGAACAACTAATAGACAGAAAACATCCTCGCACTATCGGGATAATACTTGACAAAGCTGGCTATTTGATTAGAGATTAAACGTGCCATTCACATCAGACAACTGATTGCACCATAATCTATTGTTTCTGCTTACTAAATAAGGTTTAGCTTTTTCAGATGACTGTCAGGTAGTGCTAATATTTGACAGTCACTCGTTCTCTTGTTCATAAGCATGAATGCATTCCGCTTTGATTGAACCTGTCGAAAAATATTTTTAATACCTGTAGTATTAGTTTTGATAGTGAAACGAAAAATGTGATTCTCCTGGTACTTGCTAACATTTTATTCGAAAGATTTCTGTGGTGAAATGTTTAACACCATAAGAATTGTTGACCAAAAGCTACAGTGAATTTCCATACACTTCTTACTTTTTGCTCACATTTTATGTGTTATCCCACGTATGTTCTGATGTTACTTAGTCAACTGTTTTACAGAAAATTTAAGCCTCACTAATCACAATACCTCAAATTAGTTCTTTCTTGGTTTGGACTCATTGGTATTTTAAAAGTCAATTCCCTTTCATGTAATTCACCAAAGTGTTAACTAGAAGTTGATTAAAAAAGTATTGGATAGCGTAACTCCTGTTTCCATGCGTCAGTTGGTCTAAGTTTCTAAAATGTGATTGTTCTTGCTTTTCTTTTATAATCACGAGTCTTAGTTAAAAGAGGGGAATTATATGATATGGACAAAAGCTTTGTTTTACCTTCTGAAGGTGTATGGTACAATGACATCTTTAATGTTCCTGAAAATGGCATTGTAATAAATAAAAATAGGCTTGGCACTCATCTGATAAATGAATTGTCTTATTTCGCGATGTTTTCCGACAACTACTTAAAGTTTACTTGTGTGCGAAAATTCCCATTTCTTCATGTTGTAAACAGACTTATACTTCATTATCATGGCAGTCAAGCAAAATGTCTCATTTAAAGCAATGAATGAAATGAAAAAACGTATCTCTTACACAGTCCGGGCATGGTGATTAAGAAAAAAAAATGTCTGAATGTTCTCAACTAACACATTTTCTTAATCGTAACTTCATTAAGATAGCAGTGTCTCTTCAGGCTATCTTTTATATGTTTTCAATGTCTTGTGTATTCATGCTCCAAAATTTTTAATTCTTTTTAATTTATGTAAGAGTAACTGTGATGTATGCGGTGGATAGTCTCATCTCTGGCCAATATGAGACCAGCTCCTTACCCTATAGCGACTTTGTTACATCTGTTCGTGATAAAATTAGTTGCTTTGGAAAAAGAGTAGCTTGAATTTAAATGCCTGAAAGACACTGATTGACTGACTAGTTTCAACACAGAACTTTGCACAGAAGTGTATCAGTTCTAGTTGCCACACTCCTTTAACACACAAATGAAGACAATAAGGGAAAAAAGATTCAAAAGTAAGCAGAAGGTGAAGAAGAATAACATGGAAAAGCAATAGGGTTTAATGATTATGGGAGGTCACAAGAAATGTATTTATCTACGCCATTGAGAACGATTTTGAGCCATATCACCAATTATCTCCAACCATTAGTTCTTAGAATCTCTAGGACTCCAGTCAATCAGTCTACGCCTTTCCACGTGGCTCAAACTAACTGTTGTAGATTTCATGAACTGTAGCCATTTTTTGGTTTGACCACCATTAACTCTTTTCCAGCCTGATCGTATGTCAGCTAACATCGCTTGTGAAGTGGGGACGATGACTAGGCGAATTATTTTAATGAAATCAGTTGTTTCCAAAACATAAGCATTAACTATTGTTCATCAAAAATTCAGAAATGGGTTTTAATAAGTGTAAGCGTAGTACTGATTTTAAGTTTCTTTCCATGTTCTTTTCTTTTTCTTTCATAATTGCCATTCATATTGTGTGCCAATATTTACTCAGAAAATTCTGTTATCTTTTTTCAAGGTGTTTTAGGACTTACAACACACTTTCGATGATATTATATGGTATGTCATTTTGTGCTGCAAGAATATACGACATCTTCTGTCGTATAGTGTGCACTTCATCTTGTAGTAGAAGTAAGAACACTTGTTCTGACACTGCTGCTATATTGTGAGTCAATAGTGGGCGCCGGTTAATTGTTACAATGTAGCTCGTTTTCTCTCACATCAATATGGATGGTTCTGAGGTTTTGCGCATTGTAGGTGAAGGGTTTATTCGAAAATATTTACTTTTTTCAGAGCTCTGAAAAGAGCTGATTTGTATTTTTTGAATACGTATGCATCTTGAATGAGTTGGGTTTAAAGGTGAAACACCGCTTTAACAACGAATATACAACGATAGAATCTAGTGATTCATATTTATTTTGCTTTAAACTTCAGATACACAAGTTAACAACCTAAGTAATCTCTGCTTACAAATTCTTGAGTTAACTGATTCTGCTAAGTCTTTTTTTCTTCAGCTTTCAACTAACCACTTGTCAATTTACAGAAGAATTTGACCAAATGAAATCGAGTTTAATAGTTTACCTGTAATCCTATTCTACACTGTGACTAAACTATAGCAGCCCAAAACGAAACTACCTAATAAAAACCTTGACAAATCTCTGTCGACCAATCAGACTCGTCCGAAGCAGAAGAACGTTATTCGATAGAGACGTTTACACATAAGTAATGCAACGTTAAAAGATGGTTACATGGAATAACTTCCTTGTATATGTTCTGAGAAAAGCGTCCAGTTCCTCAAAAGAGTCCTCATAGTTAGGTTAAACCAATTTCAGTGCGTAAAATTGTTGAGATAACTGTGTATCATTGTGTTTCTTGACTGATTCACCGCTCCAACCCTCTTATTTAGGTGACTCTAGAAACTTTCGATGTAATTTGTGTGAGTCCCATCGAAAGAATTAACGAAATCATCCGTCTTATTGAATAGTCCACGGATGACAGTTGGCTACACGTTTCCTCCCTTTCAATGAGCCTGTCATCTAAGCAGTACGTAGATACTAGATTTGAATGGAATTTGGTACATAATTCGTGTACAGCACCCGTAATTCCGCCTGTATTCTAGGGACTCATTTGACTAGTTGCTCAAGGTCATTAATCCGTTCCCTAGGTAGTTTCGTTTTGAGCTGCTATAGTTTATAGTCACCACTGGATAGAACGCTAGTCTTGAACAGTTTATTCATTTGTAGTTAACACAATATGGATCAATCATTGTAGTCGGAGAACAAGGTTGTTTCCGTTAAGGAAAATTTAAATTACTCAGTAACCTGTATCATAGTTACTTCAAGTAGGAGCAATTTTTCCATTATTTTTACAAATTGTGTACTAATAGCGAGAGGTCTAAACTTGTAACATAGTCCACTCGATAATTTAGGCACTGGAACAATTGTTATGTCCTTTCCAAGAAGCATGCACAACACTTATGGAAAATGATGCATTGAGGATGTCAGTAAAAGGATTACAGAAAATATCTGCACTATTGGGTAGGTTTCAATCATTGGAAACTTTTAAGACCATCATTTGTATAAAACTAGGAAAATGATCCTTGTTTTCATTTTTTAACATCAGAAATCATAACATTTGCTGGATGACATATGAAGGACTTGTTAAGCGTACCAACATCAAATAAAAAAACAGCATTTTTTCAGACGATTAAAGTATTCAGTCCTTTTGCACCAGGGCTATCTTGGATTTGACATAACCTTTCCTTTTCTCGGTGACGCTTTACGAGTTTATAAGAAGAGAAACAGTCAAGCCTAACGAGAAGTATATTCCTTGGGCGAAAAACATCAAGATACAGTTTAAGATGACGTTATATTTATAATAGTTTCATCTAGCACTTGTTCAGTAAATAAGTCCCGGTTTATATCTCTTAACATGCTTCTAAGATTCTGTATATTGTCCTTAAAATAACATCCAAATGGACTTTTCTTGAATATCCTTTGCATATGTTTTTGACAAAACCCGTGTAGTACAACAATCAGAATTTTTTAGTGGGCTCTTTTTCGAGCTTCATATGTACTAAAGTCATTCGTGAACACCAGATCTAGCGTGTTGTTTATTCGAATTGCAGAGTTGACAATATTTTCATTACCTAGTGATGTAAAGGAACTGCAGTCACAGGAATTGAAATCTTCCTGTCACTGCTGGCAATAAGTTACCAAGGCATTTTTCAGGAAAAACAGTGAATGCATCAGCGATATAGATAATTCTGAGAGACTACAACTATATGTAATTTTAATGTTCGTATTATAAACGCACTTGTAATAAGACAAGTGTTACGCAGGCTATTTTTACCACGTAACACAGGAGATATATTAATTTTTGTTAGGATCATGTTTCTGTTTCATTAGATGGTTACATGCATGAATATCTGAAAACTTTTCGTTAAGCGAAAGTGGTAGGTCTGTAAAATGATTAGAAGTTTCCATGTAAAGTAATTAAGTGGTTTTCAGGTTGAAAAATATTTCACTTCACTACTGAATTACGAATAAGTGCTACAAATTGCGTAGTTCTTTCTCGTAGTTAATAACAGTATAGTTTATTTGTCATAGTTTTACATTTTCTCGCTTATTTCAATTGTTGAATTTCGTCCGATGCAGTGTTTTATTGAACTATGGGGTGTACACCTGCCTGTCTATCGCCTTTGTACTAGTTCGGTTAGTAGACAACTTCAAGTTGGTATGAATTCTGCTACGACTAAGGTTTTCTTTTAGAGTCTGTGATCGTCACTGCTTTTAGCAGCAGTTTGTCAATCAAGGTTGTCACAATTAAGAATGAGACACACATATGCACCGTAGAGAATACGCAAATGGAGTTTGGCAAACACGTTAAACCTCATTGTATATATTGCTTATCAGCTGACCTAGTTTGTATTTCCTGTACTGTTTCCTTGTCTACTTTCGTAAATATCGCCTCCCGTTGTTACACTCTTTGTGTATGCCCGAAAATCAGTCCTTGTATTATTCGTATCATACAGTATTATACCTTTTTATTATGGGCAATACAGATATTTCTAGTTATGACATAGATGAGTAATATTCCCAGTGTTTTCAAACTAGAAGTACGTGAATATCACCAATCTCACGATTCTCTTTTATATTATTTTATGAGGTCTTGAACTGCTAAGGCTATTCTACTGTATTTCGTTTAATGAGGTGAAGTGTGGATAAGTAAGAGGGTGTAGTCACTCTAGTAAAAATTCAATATACATTAGCCAGTTACTGTGATACATTCGAATAGAGTACTGTTATTCTAATACTGAAACTATCCTATAAACCAATGAACTCACTTTTTATGTTGTATAGTTTTTTTTTAATATCACATTACGTCAGCTGTTCACCTTCATGAAGGATAAAGGCCATAAATGTCATGAAATGAGAGTGTGTAACTTTTCTAAAACTGATGCATAAACTGGAATTCTGATTTGACTGTTTGTGTTTGTATATCCATTACTGCCCATTTTTCATCGCTCACGTGTTTAAAGTCATTGTTTTACTCACAGGTAGTTTTTTCCCATTGTTAATCCATTATGAATCATCGTGGTTGGGGGAAACAGACAAATTGTATTCCTTACTCTTATTTTCATTATCATCTGATAAAGTAATTATGTTCTGTTTATAGCCGTCTGAATAACATTATTTTTGCTACATTGTCTTCGTATCATGTTGAATTGGTTTATTTATTTTTACGAGTTGATCACGGATTAATATCAGTTAGAGAATCATTGAAAACTAGCAAGGAGTACTGGACAGCTGTTTCATCCTAGTTTGGGAATCATCGGCAGTGGGTGCGTACTGCCGGTTTTCAATGGTTCTCTAATTGGTATCAATCCGTGATCAACTCGTAAAAACAAAAACTAATCTGTACAAACCAACTATAGAGAATTGGTTTATTCCCCTTACTGATATACACATGACTCACAGGTCATTCGTTGATAGGATTCATTTTTATTAAAAATCTATACATCATTTATGTATGACATGTTGATTTATATGACTGGTAGTGTGGCAAATTTACCGACACATTCCAACAATTAACTTGTTTTAGATACAGCCTCTGTTCCTTTAGTTTTGGTTGACTCCTTTAAAATAACAGAGTTGAATAGTCAGGAGTTTATTTTGGAATTCAATTTCCATCGTAAAAATGATATTAGTTAAGGACCCTTTAAAGACCAGTCAGTGCTCGATATCTGTTTCCTTTTAGACTGGGACTCTTCAGCAATGCGCACCCAGAACCTACAGGTTATGAGGCCAGCTTGCTGACCATTCAGCCAAAGAGACTGCATCCAACGGAATTCGTTTTGTTTTTACATGTCTTCACAGAATGAAATATGACTAACTGCATACTGTGCTAACTGAAAGATCTGACAGGCGCTGATTTTGAAAACTTTTGAAATTGTCTCAAGAATACATGTGACATTATGAGCATTAAATGTGTGGTTGGAACAAAAACTGATAAACATTGTAGAAGTCCACTGGTGTTAGAAACCTATTATGTGTTAAATTACATGATATATGCGTAACTACCTTTCATAGTGAACTGCAAAGTCTGGGTAGGAATTTTTTGTGGTGTTATCTTCCTGGTCAATGACTCTGATACAGAAAGTATTACATATGATACAGCAGCCTCATCATAAATACTCATTAAAAAACCCTGACTTTTCTCATCTAGTTTTAGAAGCCTGTCAATAATTCAGTTAATGTATCTGTTGTCCAGCCCCACTTGCTCATTTTCACTCTATCTGTATTTGATAACTACTTACTGTGTCTGTGAACAGAATTTTACGTTTATGCACGCATAAGAGTAACCATTCAACACTCAGTAAAGACTCTTCACACATAGATCAATACCATTTTATTTGCATATGCATAGGTTTCTTCTCCTTTTTTTTTCTTTTTCTACTTTTGCCTGAAAATAGATTTTTTCTGTAAATATATCTATACCTGTACATGTATGTGTACATGTGCACGTATAGGTATCTATCTATTTTGTTTCTGAGTTTGTTTGTGCGTGTGTGCATCCGTGTGTACTTGTGTTACCATAATTCGGTGGCACCAAATTGATGGAAATCGATTTTGCTGAGAAGAAATTACCTCCTCAAAAGATTGATATCACATGACCTGTTTTCTTTAACTTATTATGTATGCATAATTAATTTGGAGTCGATCGCACAAAATATGAAAATGCAATCGTATTTAGACTCATATCTAGTACATGACAAGAATCTCTGTGTTCGTTTAACACACTGTAATTAAGGTGAAGTTAAAATAATCTATTTAAATTTGTCTGCAGGAGATAGGGGGTAATCAAGGTGATGAATATAATTAACAACATGACAAAGGTAATTTATTTTATTTACTTGAATAAATGAGACAGTGTCTTTCCCACTACATACAATGAAACCTAAGGGTTTTAGTTTGATCATATTGTAGGATGATAAATTCTCTCAATAATTGCTTATTCTAACTATTTACACTGCCTGTGCAATTATTTTCCTCAGTACAGTTTTCATAGTTTATAAAAAAAGCAGTGAAGTGTTAACCACTCTGTGGAAAGTTATTATATTTCACGATGATTGCCACGTTGAATATTATGAGATAACCTGTCTGCAACTTAAAGTTAATATTTTATTAGACGAGAAGGGCCAGTTTCATTTGAAGGTGGTTGCAAAGATGTTTTTTCCCATTAACTTCCTTACAAAAGCTTTAGTATGTCGAAATCAAAAAAATACCCTGTGATAATTGAATTGCGATCACTTAAATTTACACTGAATCGAAACTTCATAAATTCAGAGCCCTGATCCTCACAGCCTGAAACACTATACTTGTGATATGCGATTCCTAAAAATGGTTCAAAATTCGTAATATGCATGTTCAAGTAATTCGTATGATTTTCTTATTGTATTATGTAGGTTCTTTTCATTCTTTTAGCACATCTGGTGTATTGATGTCGGCTAGTAGAAGCATAGTCAGTCGGTATGTGTCACCATTAGCTCTTTCTTTCTCTGCACTTCTGAAGACTCGTGTAGAAAATTAGTACCTGTCAGTTTGCAGTTCGATGAATTCTTCCTTGAACAGATGATTTCGTAGTGTTATATTTTGGTATTGTATTCAACGATTAGATTTATCTTCCAGCTGCATTTAATGTACATTATCTTGAATAATAATGCTTAGGTAACAGAAAGCTTTAAGCAGAATATCTGTTGAATAGCTCTGGTTCATTAAGCGTGTGTCTGCATATGATGCAATCCTAACCATGTTTTTCAATCGGTTACGGTGGTGCAGTTTAGGTGAACTATGATTGTACCTCCATTTAAAGTAATTGTTTACTTATAGTAACAATAGATATATTATAATACATAAATGATGTCTAATTAGGTTTATGTTTTTCCATTCTTCCCATTAGTACTGAATTTCTTTAAATATCATGTTAGTCACCTCTGCTTTTTCTCCTTTTTTTGTGTTGATTTAGAGAACAAAGTGATAATACAACTGCTGCTACACCCAGCGATCATTTACCAAAATGTGGAGAGTCACTTGAATCTAGTTTGCTAACCGGCATCCACTGGCATCCAGGTCCACCTCAGCCATTATCTGAACTGATGTCTGATTTTCGTTCAGGTAGTTCTGGAAAAACCTATTTAATAAAGGCTATTTGTAAGCGTGCAGGTTGTCGTTGTGCGTTAAGGAATTATGATAGTCTTATGTTATATCCTGTCCCAGATTCAACTCTTGCTTCCGCGACTTGGGAAACTTGGACAGCGAAGGACAAAGACCCACGTTTCCCTGCAACCGTCTGTGAAGTACAATCTAAGTTGATTCTCTTTCGTCAATGTCGTGGATGGTATGAAGTTTTGAATGAAAATTATCAACCAACTCCACACATTACAACAATTGAACAAGTAAGGCGAACTAGGTCTTCAACTTTTATTGTCCGTCAAGATATGCGTTGTTTAGTAGCACCTCCTACCTTAGTAATTCCTTCTTCAAGTGAAACACAAGGAGCAAATGATGATCCTTCACCACTTTCTTTACCGCCAAACCTGGTCTCTTTGGCATGCTCACCAGAAACACTAGCTTACTCAAAGCCGGATATTATTCGTGCTGGGACACTTCTTCGCTATATCACGTACCTACCTGACTGTTCACTAAGACGTGGGAAGAAAATAAAAGAAATGGAACTAGTTTTGGCAACTGAGCGATCCAACAGCACAAAACAAATGGCAATAACTTCCGATCTACTCCCGGTTAAGCCTCCTTCACGTACTATTTATCTTGGTACAGAAGATTCTACACCTGCTGTTTTTCCTCCTAAACTTTCGTTAAGTACTATTGCTGGTCCAGAAAATATTTCTGGTGTACATTTGTTATCTGGATTACTTCGTAAATTCCGTTTACCCTTATCAATTAGACCAATACCTTTACCGGATTCTTATAATCATTCCATCAATGGTCCACCAATGAGTCGTCCATCTCTTTTTAATACTAGCCGTAAGGTTACTTCTGGTTTAGTTGCTGTCCAATCTCTTATGTTTACTGAGAAGCATTTCCTAAGATTACATTCTATTTACAGAGGCGATATTCTGATTATTGCTCCTGTCGCCTCACCAGAACGTTTATTTTTGATTACACCATCAATGTTACGTGACCACTCCTTTCAGATTGGATTCACTCATGATGCAAATTATGCTTTATTAATGGAAAACCATCGTATACAAGCATGCAATTTCCTAGCCATTGCTCACGCACATGAAACGTTAAATTATCTAGTTCGTCATATGCAAGATGTGACACGTGAACCGCGTGACTCGTATACATCTCGTCAACAAGCTAAACAAAGGAGCGACTTACCACCTGCGCCGGAGTCGTATATGTCACAAGATGAGATATGTAAGGCCTACGACGAGATTGATGATATCTACTTTTACATTCGTCATGGTTATTATCCATCTAAAGTACGAAAACCAGATGATGTAACTTGTGAATCTGAGTCTGCATCCACTAATACAGTGAAAGATCAAAAGTATTCAACTAGTTCATCGCATATATCCGAAGATAATCAGTTTAAAACAAATTATAAGGAAGATTCTAAAGCATCGCGTATAGCAATGTTAGGTGATTCAGATTTATCTGCTCTGCATACACCGGTGAACTCTAAAACACGACGTACTGCTTACAAACCACCAACTGTGGACGACGATTATTCATTTGACATGGAAAAAATGCGTGAACTTCTGGATCTTGTAGGTCGTCGTGCATTCGGTGAACCGTCTGGTGAATATGGAGTATGATAGGGTATTATTTGGTAGTTAGGGACAGGAGTTTTTGATCGACACTTTTTGCAGCTGTATGCCTGCTCACTGCATATACATCTTGTTAAATCGAACTGTCCACATTATTGGAAGTCACTTACTACAAAAGGTGTTTCGAATGGAATGCACTGTATTCCATCCTTTCTTTGTTTTTACTAAAATTATATTTATTAACTTGGATGTTATTTTTCAATACGATACTTTTCCATAATCGCATTATTGCATAATCTATTTTATGTGTAAGACCAACTAACGTATATAAGAAATTCTCCGTGTGTTGTGATTCTATCGATTTGCAGTTCACTTCCTTTTCACACCCAAACATATCTGATTCCTCCGTACATATCCTCTTTAGGAGTTATTTGGAATACTCTACTTCCTTTTGAATAATCATTTCGAAGTTGATTTGCCTGTATACCGCCATCTGGTTGGATTTTGATTGATGCTAGATGGCTAGACTTTACAACAATGTACTGGTTTTTACTTCCCTAATTTTTAGATAGTTTTTACATTTTGCTTTTATTTAAATGTCATTTTGTCTTTTTTACAGACTGTTCAATAAAAACAATTGTTGATTTTCGCTTGTTCCTGTGAAGGTTAAGGTTTCGTTGACACCTTAAACCTTGTACATAAGTCGTCTCCTTTTTCATAATTAACTTTTAATACTACTTAATTCATGGTGTTTTAGTGTTTCTTGTGTTCGTTCTTGTCTATTCTTGTTTGTTTATTTTCGTATTTGGAAACTTTGAATTCTTTGTTGGAGTTTTGTTCTTTTCTGTCTAGTGTTGTTGTGTTATTGCACCAGACACTGGGAAGAATCTTTTGTATCTATTTGCTTCCATTTATAATATTGAATGTAATTGATTGAATAAATGAAGAGATGCTGAAGTGCACACCAATGTACGATTTCTGTCACTTCTGATCAATATTCGTTTATGTGTTCCTAATTCAGGGGATGCTTTTATCACTTCAGGGATGATTAATTTACAGTGTGATGTGTTAGTGTGTTACTTGTGTATTTGTATTTTTGCTCTTTTATTTCTTCTGTCTCTTTCACAGTGGAAGGTTACGTTCTCCATTTTGTGTTTGACTGGTCCATTGCTGGTTTTTCATACTGTGTGACAAAATGAAGTATAGGTGGATGTGAGGATTATGACTCCACTGTTTGCAACCTATGAAAGCATGCAAACAAGGCTACTTATGTGTTTAGAGGTTGGAGTTTCAAGTTTTTGAAAGTCAATTAGAAATGATGTTTGTGTGCAGTTAATGACCATAAATGAAATAATAACTAGGTACTGTTGGTCCGCAGATTAGTGTGTCAGCGTTGTGCCATCACAACTGTTCATTGGGTTTCAGTTTCATTTGACTCACTGGGCAAATAGTAAGTCCATAACATGACTGCGAAATATTTTTTAATACCTCATCAACAAATGCATAGAAGTTGCTCAGTGTGTATACAAGCAAAAAATGTTGCTTGTTCACACTATCGATCATTAAAAATTGAGTTATGTATATAGTCATCATTTTATTCCGTTGTGCTCTATCTCTCTGTTTATCCCTTTCTGTGACAGTGTTAGAGATAAAAATGCAGCATATTTTTTGTATTTCATAGAAAAACCTTAGTGATAATATTCTATATGTATGTTGAAATATGTTACTGAGTTTTCGAAACAATTTGATGAAATTTATGAGTGGTTCGGGGAAAATAGTTGGTTTCTAAATGGGTTCAATTTGACTGTAATAACAATTACTTGACGTTGAGACAAGCAGATGAGCGTCTTATTGTCTACTTCAAAAAAAAACGAGAAAACAAAGAATATCATTAAAACTGGTTTCATGCACGGAAAAATCTCATAATATGTAAAAGGGAGCAAACACGTAATTCACCTATGAAACTCAACTCACCGGATTCATTTATTAGAGCTGTACAATCGCAATTATATACAATTGCTTCATGAATGTGTACAATATTCCTCAAATGCATAATAACTATCAGAATAAATACAAACTTGTTAGGGTTAGTGAACCATAATCAAGATATACTAGTAGTATAGGTGAAGAATTGTATAATAAGATAGAAAACTTACGTGCATCTGAATTGCTGGTTCTTAGTCATCGAAATAGAGAAGTTGGAGGTCTGTTTCACTTCTCAGGGCATAGCGGAGTTTCTTGTTTTAATTCAGGTGGGTATGTATATATATATTTATATATCTTGTAGCACATAATGAAAGTATAGTGAATTTGGTAGCTTAACACATGACCTTCCAAACTGACTGATGCACATGGACTCAATTCAGTCGGTTTTATTCTTAAGAATCATCGGAAACAAAATAGATTAATGGTCTTTGTAATTTCTATTAGTAGTAACCAATGACAAGGGAGAATATGTTGGCACTAGGAATTAGGTACAGCATATTTAGATTTACTAAACGAACTAGCGTGAAAGACGATAGCAAGCGTGCTTATCGACTGCGAAAATGATATCCATTAAAGGTCTGTAGCATTTTGTATCAGTAATTTGGATGCTGATCTTCCAGACTAGAAATAGAATGAAGAATTAATAGCAGATTATCCACATCGGTAAATGTGTGAGAGATTGCTTTACGGACTACTGGTTACACTAAATTAGCAACTATCTAGTAAATAATGAAAGTATCGTCAAAATGATCGTTAACATTTATCAGTGTAATCTATTATAAAGAATAAAAATTGCATTTCAATAATCATAGCCTAACCCATTCTGCGTTGGGTTGATTTTATCGGAAACCCTAGGGTTCATTGTAATATATCATTTCAATAAGCTATCTAGACGGTTAACCTAAGAAAGCCAGACAAGTATCCTGTTCAGAAAACTTGTGCACTGATGAAATCTGGTTACCTGATGTTTGCTGCTTTATGTGGATATATCACTCTTTTGGTAGAGTTTTGCGATGATAAGTTATACTACGATATACTTTTTGCTAGCTAACGTAGATGTATTTGGTGTGCTGACAACCAGTGGTTTTCATTCGAGTTGTAGATTGAGTTCTGATCAAAGCATAAGTTAAAAAGTTCACCTAGACACTTCAAAACCTGCATTATTTATCAGCAATTTACCATCTCCTATAGCAACTGTGTGTGCAATGACAGCTAAAAAAGAACGGTATGAGACTGCTATAGGTTTTTCCCTTAAAAGTGTGTGATGTGTCATTTGCCGTAAATGTGAAGAAAGCCAGTTGATCAAGGTATGAATTTGCATTGACTCAGTTGGCTGTGCCATTTGTTGTACATGCACATTGAGTCAGCGCACTATCCGCAAATGAGATAGTTATATTGGAAAGGATACAATTATCGAAAATGCATTTAATCCATTTATGTCCTTTTTCAACGTTGTTATCATGTGTTGTATGATTACTGTATTTTAGTCGCAATATTACATCCAACGGTAAGCATGACTTTGTAAGTGTTTATGTTTAGCGATGGGTGTTGAGCTCGAGTCTCCGTAGGGACTCAGTCGCCCACCGGAAATGCTGCCACATATCGCTGGCGAGCTCTAAATAGGGCGTAACACGCATCCTGAATTCCACTGCTATCCGCCATCAGTCAAAGAATCTAACAACATGTGGCATCAGACATGATAATATGTTTTATACTATCAGTGGTTATTAGTACATTGTGAAGGATAGTGCACATCACAGTATGTTATCATCTTTTATCTTCCTTTGCGCGAAGTTGTTTACTATGTGTTGTCCATTCCAAATCTGTACCAAAAAGTGTGGAAACTTTAACACTGACATTTGATCCTGAGACATAATATAAAGTTATTTCCCCTAACTCTGTAGTAAATCCACACCGTAAAATATTAGGGATCAAAATAGAGTGAAGAAACAGTCCTGCTCAGCGTGACTATAAAAAGTGATTCTGAATGCCAAGGTCTTTTATAATAAATGTGTTAATTTGCAGAAATATAGTTTTAGCCTCTGACTTTTCCATTCCCTCTAATCAATACAACAAATGTTACTTACATAACTGCGTCCGGAAAGTGCTCAAAATACCGAGTGAAACAAGGGTTGATTTTCATAGTACTGTGGTGGTGTGATACAGATAATGTGTGCCAATGGAATATTGTTCTCACAGTTTAATTCAGCAGTAGCAACAGTACGATATTTCTATTTGTTGTTAGAGTTGGAATATTATTCCCACAGTTCAATACTGCATTGGCAACGGAATACTATGTATACTTGAACATTCTATTTCATATCGTTTGATGTGAACCGAAACCACAAACTCAGTGATTGGTTAAAGAATGTAAACTGTACATATATAAACAGCGGTTTAATGATTGGAAAATATACCTTTGCTTCCATGTCTAACCTTCTGTTGTTACTGTACTATATGCAAAGTATGATGTCTCAGATTCCAAAGGTAATTGGCGTTTTCAACCTTATAAGTTGTCAATGTAAAACATCACTGTAAAGTTAGGCAATAACAAAAAATTACTGTTTAGTTTAATGAAGTGGAAAATCTGTCCAGGCTAGTTTCATATGTCTTTTAACTAGAGAGTCTGTACCTATTATATTCATTATGAGATCGATAAAATCTTGATAAAACTGTCATATTTATTCTATAGAACAATGTATTTGGTAGTATGGTGGACATGATCCAGTAACTGCGAAATACGTCAGCTTTTTTCTGCATATAAGAGAAAAAAACGAAGATTGATTCTAAGTTGCGTTGATTAGTGTGCTTTAGTTGAGGTCTTATGTTTGTTGGAATTTTGCAAAAAGCCAATTGTTTACATTAATAAGGAACACAATTATTTCCTGTATCTAGGCTACTTGGCACATCGTTTTCTCGTATACTGTGCATACCTCAATTTACAATTGTTATCGACATGCATGCACACACACCCGAATGAACGCAACCCGGTTGTTGCATTTCAGTAAAGCTATTGAAATTAAGCCATGGTAAAACAGATAAAATTATTGGATGAAAATCGGTCACGAGAGTTTGTTGACCGCACAGATCATTATCTACACTGCACTGTATAAAGTTACGAACCAATGATTTCTGCTACCTTTCAAGTTAGGGTAGACAGTATAGGTTGAATGTACTTTTATCAGACGCAAAAGATGGAATCATTCTTATTAGTTCCTATAGCTTCACCTACGACTGACAGACAAAGTCGGATAACTTTCGGCATTCTATAAATGACCGTAAAGTTCGTTTCTACTTTGATATGCTGTTTACTGTCCGCTAAATGGGATAAGATGCCGCATTTGTTGACCTGGTTACAGTTTCTGATATAACCTAGATTTACCTTCTATTAACTATTGAATACTGACGTCAATAGATTTACAACTGAAGAAGTTATCCGAAGGATATTTTTCCCGTAATTGTCTTTGTTCTCAATAAATTATGGAAATATTAAAATCACTGACCAGTCATGTTTACGAGTGAGTCACTGGCATCAATCTCAACGAAACACCTCTTCAACTTTGTTTTAATTTTAGTGTCATCTTATTAAACCTCTAATAAGCGCGTGTGTGTTAGAGTGAAACGGAAATTCGCCTTGACTGATCTTCAATTTCTGTTGAGCTCTAGAATAACAGTGTTAATTTCCGAACCTCACTCAGTTTTTGGTATGAAGACGCACTTTTTCCCTACTATCGATAGTTCCAAAGCTGAGTCTGGATAGCTATCTAGTGCTGCTTTTCCTTCAGTTTTCTTTCTATAACCATATCTTACGTAAGATTCCTTCAAATGCACTGAAGTCTTCTGATTAACTACAGTTGTCGGTCTACATCTGATAAGACATCTTTCACTTTAAAATGTATATTACATATCTGGCTGTAAGAAAGTACTATATGGTATGGTTATTTATAAAAAGAAAAGTTAATTAGAGATGAATTTTCGTGCACACTATTTTCCGCGTTTTCCATTTGACTAATTATATCTGGAAGTTTTAGTGATTCTGAATGCTTTACTTTTGTTATTCACCATTATGATCATGATAAAAGTTGAAGTTTTAGAGAACTGTCGCCGGATCTAGCAAGTCTGTTAGTTCTCATTTATAGTTTCTTTTTATACAAGTTTAATAAAATGCAATTGCTAACGTAAACTGGATTAGAATGTGATATTGACTCACCATGTTTTATCATTTAACTCATGTTACATCTAATTAATCCATCAAATAGATTCTAGTGACCAAGTACCTGACGCTGCTTAACCATGATACTTTTGTTTGATCTGTAGATCCGTTAAACCGGTTTTACTGTCCTCATTTTTATGAAATAATTCCCTTTCTACGCAGTGTTAATCAAATGATTCCGTTAGATCATAAAAGTAAAATAATTTGAAACACTTAAACTTGAGTCATCAGTCAGAAGAAAAATAGTTAGTCCTATAAATTTACTCAACTTGTGGTGGTGTGATACAGACAATGTATGCCAACGGAATATTATTCCCACAGTTCAGTTCGACTTTAGCAACAGAATACTATGTATACTTGAACATTCTATTTCATATCGTTTGATGTGATTGGTTAAAGAATGTAAACTGTACATATATAAACAGTGGTTTAATGATTGGAAAATATACCTTTGCTTCTGTGTCTCACCTTCTGCTGTTACAAACTAACTGTATGGACAGGACAAATACTATTCCTACTTTGAGTGTAGCATATTACCAGGATATTCAGGTGTATTAGACCAGGTACAATC